TTCATAGTCATCTTGGAAAACTCTCCTTTAAGCTCCATAAGGCACCTAAATCATCACTTTACTACAAAATGCTCATGAACCTGAAAACATACCTAATAGACTCTAAAACATAGATAATACTTATAAAAACATATAAAAATCATGACCAAAAACGGGTCAAAATCATGGTATATCACAAACAAAATAACCGTCATTGTATTTCAATGATTAGCACAATAAATACTAACACTAATAATATAATTTGAGAAAGTTGACATATTTCATAGAGAGTCTAAAGAAACAAATAGATAAAAAAGAGCAAAGAACTTACATCATTTTTCTTGTCAAAATTGCACGCATGTGAAGGATTAAGCGTTTATTTCTTGCCAAATTTATCACTCCAATCAACAACATCATCTTCGCTGTCAGATTCAGAAGAGGAACAACTTTCTTGGACAACTTCCACAAAAAGGGCAGTAACAGCTTCCACAAAAACTAGTTTTATGGCAAGTGCAAATCCTTTGACAGCTATGTTGTTTTGTGACAACGCCACCTCATCTCGCTCTTTAATACTACTCATAAGCAAGTCAAAGGCCAATCTTCCCCAAGGATATGAAAAAAAATGCATAAATATCTTTAATAGCTTCCGCATGTTCTCTATAATCTTCATCTTCAAGCTTGTAGGGAGAAGAATGGACTCTAGGATCGCAAGGCAAGCAAATTTAATATGTATGTCTCTGTTCGTAACATTTCTCCTTCTCAGCATCTTAGTAACCGAAGCGACGGTTACTACGTAACTTTTCCCAAATAAAACCGGCCAATAAGGTTTCTTCGATATTGTTTCCCTAAGCTTCTGCTTTGATTTCAGAGGAAACTTCTCACATGGTAATCCGGTGACAATCGCAAACTCTCTTAGGGAAAACCTAACTGGCTGTGCAGCAAACTTAAACCATGCTTCGTGATTTTTTGGGTTTTAGCTGCCGCGAGAGAAGATACCATGCAAAACGACCAGAAAATACCGGTTTCTCCGCAATTTTGTCGAGTTTCCCAAAATCAGATTCCATGATAACTTCTATTTCCTCCTCTTCTTAAGTATATAAAATCCGTTTAATAGCTCCAGATGATCTATAAGTAAGTACGCGAACACCTACTGATTCTTCGTCGGAGGCAAACATCATCTCCGGAATTGGCTTTGCTTGCTGAACTTCTGGTGAATCCGGACAATCAACTAAATGCGCCGACACCATCCAACAAACATAGAGATGCGACTTGCCTCACCGACGATCTCTTGGTATTATCAAAAAAAGATAAGAGCGGTCAGAGATGATAAACTTTGATATTGCTGTTCTAATAATGTAGCAACACGATTCTTTGCTAGTTTCGACAAATAAGGGCATGTGTAATGGAGCTGCATAGGTAATTATTGCACATGAAGCTATACCTAACTACCTATGAGCTAAAGCCTATCATTTAAACTTTTCAGATCTCGCCTTACAACGTCATAGGGGTAATATTGTCATATATGGACTAGAGTACAATGGTTTTACCTTACATTCCCAAAGGTGCAAATAATCTTTAAAAGATTTCTATAGCGTGTGATTGCTCTAAGAAATAATACTCAAAAATCAATAACAAAACTACTATATATTTTACTTGCGAGCTAAGGTACTACATACCACTTATGTTCCCAAAGGTGCATAGCGTTAGAGCTACAATTTTGACAATATGGTTTCAGCTTATTTTACAAATGATTTTTAGTGATATCTATCACCAACATAACCAAATTTGAAAGTTTTTGGATTCACATAATTTATTATGCTTTAATATAAAAAGTATAATTTTGTGATAATATTTTTACTAGTTTCAAAATACTTGTTTTATATTTAAAAAAAAAAATAGAATAGTCTTTACTTGAAAGAAATTTGAGAAAAATCGTTAATCCAATCCTATGTTAGTTTTTGTTCTACCAAACAAAAAAAAATCCCAAGAGAAATAACACTCAACCAACTATATGGAAGGCATTCGAGATTAAATTTTTCCATTTTTGTGGTTTCACGATAATTTTATTTTGTATTTACGGTTTTTATTTAAATAATTTATTGAAAAAGTGTATGTGTATTGTGATGATGATATTATATATTTTTGGAATAAAAGATTATTTTTATTTGTTAATTTAAAAAGCAAGAATCAAAAACTGAAAACTAAAATATAAAATAACCATTCATGCATAAAAACTAAAATCTACTGCAAATTAAAAATAAAATAAAAAACTAAAACCCAAAATCTAAAAACTAGTAAAACAATAATCACTTAAAATATATCACAAAATAACAGTTGCATGACTCTTGGCAACATTTTGCATTATAACTAACTCAAACCAAAGGCTTTAACCGGGTAATTGTAACAATAAATCATGCAAATTGCAGACAATTAAATAACTCAGGAATGCAGCTTGCAACAAGTGTTTTATAAGTTTTAATATTTTTTCAAATTTTGATAAAAAATACATGACTTAATAGTGATCACGAGGATAATTATATCGTGCCGAACATCCAAATAACTCGGCGAACCTTTTCCCTCGAATACTCTCCAGAAATGGTGGACTGGTCAATAAACTATTTGTCAGAAACGAGTTCAGATGTTCTCTTCTTTCACAAAGAAAAAAGAATAGGATTGGATTATTGACAAGTGGATATGACATGTGACAAGGCAATGAGACGTATCCCGTGCGTAACTTTCCGTCTTCTCTGGATAAGCATTTGCCACCTCTTTGTCATTTTTTGGATAAACAAGTTAACAACAACTTCTCTTTCTGGAAATAATATACAAAAATAGTTATGCTTATGCAGATTCATATTCAAGTTTCTTTTTCATTGACGAAACAATTTAAACTGCTTTTCACGACAGACTTAATTTCTATTGTTTTCTTTTCCATCGATAATATTATTAGCCCGAGAGCGGAACCACTATTGACGAATAATAGATAATATACATAAAATATACTATTAATAGTAAGATCAAAGACCATTGAAAGAATCAGAAAAGAGAGTTCCACGAAAATGGCATTAACACTATGTGAGTCTTTATGATCAAAAGATGAAAAAAGTTCATCAGCTAAACTAATTTCCTAATCGTTATCGTTGTGTTTTCCATGTTCAGGTGGAAGAGCTCGTCGCTTAGTCTCTGCAACATCAATATATAACCATGGTTGTCTTCAAAGAGTGAGACCCACACCTTGATCTTCATATTCTCATTTACATAACTTAAAACCTAAGTTTATATTTCTACTTTGTTGAAGCTTCAACAAACCGGATCGGATCGGTTTCAGCTTGGTGAAGCAAAAGCAATAAGATTATTACCCAGGTGATAAGATAGAGTTTGGTCTTTGTTCTCCAAAGTTGCGTTTCTATAAAGACTGAAATTAATCTGTTTTTTTTTTTGTATGGTAGGAGGACAAACATGGTTCAGGAATTGGGAAGTAGAGAAGAATTTATGCAAGAAAACATAGATACTGAGACAAGTTATGATTTTCTGGATGAGATGAGACAGAGGTTTCTCAAATTCAAGAGACAAAAGTATCTGTAAGCAAAGAGACTCTTGATCCTCTGTATTTTACTCTGTTTTTCTGTGGTCCACTTTAAACTGATGATGAAAATCCACAAAATCAGACCACAGATAGAAAAATTTCAAGCTTTGGCCATAGCTCAATCACCAAAGGTGAGTATCATCAAATTATTTTGGATTATTCGATTAACTGGTAAAGGAACTATCGCGGTTTGAACCAAACTGATTAGAAAAAGAAAATAGGTTATGGTGATAGGATGTGCAGATTCAAGGGTGTGTCCTTCTTATGTACTTGGATTTCAACCTGGTGAAGCTTTTACCATCCGAAATGTTGCCAATCTCATCACACCGATTCAGGTGCATTTCACACTTACTCCTTTTTGTTCTTACATCAAGGAAACCTCTAAAGTGAAACCCTTTTGATGTTTTCCTCTTTTCGATCGAAAGAACGGGCCAACAGAAACCAACTCAGCTCTTGAATTTGCAGTCACTACTCTTCAGGTAAAAGCTTAAACATGTACAGAGTGAAAATTGCAGCAAAAGAATGCATATACTCATGTTGTTTCTGCGTAGGTTGAGAATATTATAGTAATGGGTCATAGCAATTGTGGAGGAATCGCAGCGCTTATGAACCATCAAAACCATCTAGAACAACCGTCTAGGTACAGATATATATCTACACAAATCTTTTGTCAACAAATCCTCAAATTGCTTTATTAGACCAAAAACTTTTGTGTGTATAGTTTGGTAGAGAGATGGGTCATGAATGGAAAAGCCGCCAAGTTAAGAACACAAGAAGTTTCATCACACTTAAGTTTTGATGAACAATGCAGAAACTGTGAGAAGGTATCAAACTCCAAACATGTTCTCTCTGTTACTTCAGCTCTCTTGTACCTGAAGCTGATTTGTGTGTGTGCATGTTGTTTCTGGAGCAGGAATCTATAAAGGATTCTGTGATGAATCTAATAACCTATCCATGGATAAGAGATAGAGTCAAAAGAGGTGAAGTCAAGATTCATGGATGTTATTACAATTTGTCAGATTGTAGTCTTGAGAAGTGGAGACTCAGTTCAGACAAGAATAGCAATGAATTCTATGTTTCAAACAGAGAGATATGGAGCTGAGTAAATGTTGAACAACCCATCAGTTCTAATATCCAAATGTATCTTTGTATATGTAAACCTAATGCAATTTGCTGTAAATGTATTAGGTGCAGACTGGAAGGAAGATAAAACCAATTTTCTATGAGGAATTACTAAAGATATTTCATTAAGCTCATTAGATCCCCACACTTACAACACCACAAAATACTTCAAACACAACAATACATTCATACACAAAACCAAATAACAACTGACAAAAGAGAGAAAACAAATAGCAATAACATAGAATATAATAAAAAGAGACTGGTTTTTGATGGACATTTTCTCTCAGGTCTGTCTCCATGTTCTTAAACTTCAACCCCACCATTGGTGCACAGCAACACCTTCATCTCTAAGTTTTCCATATAGAGCCAAACACTCCCAATAAGCCATACTACTCTCACTCTGCATCTTCCTTGCCCTTAGCCCTAAACCCTTTGGTTTGCATTCCAAGAAAAGCTCATCCACCATTTTTATAGACTTGCTCCTCATCATCTCCTCCACAACTTCAGCCTCTGCTTTCATCACCACGTATTCCCCCTCCTTCACATTCTCTTTGAGCCACTCTGTCATCCCCATATTTTCAGATTCTAGGCTCTTATCATCATCGTTCACTGTCTTAATCTTGTACATCTCAAACTTCTGATTTCTTGTTGGGTAATTTTTAACAAACCATTCTGTTCCACTGCTTCCTTTTCCATTACCCACATCGATAAATACCCGCCTTGAGTAGCTCCCAAGGTCCATAGTGTCTCCCATAAGGTCAGGGAGGTACCTTGTCCGTTTCAAGTAGGTTCTTGATTTTCTTGAAGCTGCTCTTGGCGGTTCAAGGAGAACGTCCTCTAGCTTACTCAAAGCATTTTTCTTGGCCTCTTCCTCTGTGATACTCAGAAGCTTTCTCCCGGTGGCAACTGTGTCTTGTTTCTTCTCTGTTTCCCCTGTTTTCCTCATTGCCATTACCGTGTACTCGGAGCTCTTCATGTAGACTATTTCGTAGTTTAAATGTTCCAAGAAATTTGGAGGAAGATCCTGGAGGTTGAGTTGGACGGTGAGGATGCCGCCAACTTTGAGAGCCCGGTCTAGAAATTCAGCAGAGTCAATGTGACGAGAATGTGCAAATGCGAAATCAAAGGTCTCGCTTGGGACCATGCTCTGAGTCTCCTCATCGCTAGCAGATACAAACAACATCTCGGTTTCGATAACTGTTTGAGAGTATGAAGTAACAGTGACCTCATCATCTCCTCCGCTTAGGAGGAGTGTTTTATCTCCAAGCTTGAAGAGACCTTCCTTCTCTAAATCATTCAGAAGCAAAGGCAATAGCTCATGGTGGTCAGATTCCACCGACTTAGATGCAGCGGTTGCGTCAGTTTCAAACTTCAGAAGACTTAACCAAGTAAATGAAAGAAACAACAAAGCCAAAAGCATTGATCTCATAAAAAGAGTCAAGACTTCAGAACGAGAAGCCTTGAAGAAAGAATCTGCAGAGCCCAAGGAAGAGCTTGAATGGTCTCTTTTTTTCAAGAGGTAGTGACAATGCTTTTGGCACATGGAATGAAAGTCATTGACAGTAACAAACACCATTTTTTTTTAATCTTTGCTGAGACGAAGAGAGCGCCCCAAAAAGTGCAGTTGAAAGTTAAAGAAAAGGAAAGAGAGATGAGAAAGCTAATAAAGAGAAAATCAAAAGGAATTGTAAGAAGAGAAAACAGGTTAAAAAGAAAAATAAGAAAAGAGAGGAGAGAAGAGAAGGTTTGGAGAAAGGCGAGACTAGCGAGTGCAGAACCTAGCGGCTGTATGATTCCCACCGGTTAGAGAAACACGGTTACTCTTCAACTTAGACCAAAGGGACATCAGCTGCCTCATTCTCTGTATCTCCATTGCGGTTACCTCTTTCTTGCTCCCAATCTGCTATTTCATCATTTCGACACACACACAAATATATATATATTTTTTTCTTTTAATATAAGTTTATTATGTCTGGTTATCAATGAATCCTCAGATGTTGTTTCCCATTCTTTCCAAAGAAAAGATATAACACTTACGGAAGCAACATATGGGATGAAAAAGAGATTGAGAGCAGGAAAAAGGTTTTTGTTGAATTGATTTTGTGGATTGATTTCTTGAGGCTTAAGTTTTTGCTTTGTTTCCCGCAAGAGGTGAGAGAGATTTAGATTGAAAATATAAAGGGCTTTTCTGTTTTTTTTTAAAAAGCCTTTGTTTACGCCATGCCTCTATCTATTTTAAGATATTTTCCTCTAAATTCATGGGGGGCTATAACTTGTTTTGCAAGTAATTTCATCACCCTCCTTTATTAAGGTATGGCCACATCAGTGCAAACACATTCCAGTTCTTAGTTGTTTTGACTCTGTTATTTGTATTATCAAACATAAACTAGTTGGGCATTTACAAGGAGCGTAATCATTTCCTAAGAAAATAATAACAATCTTTGACCAACAAACAAATGGTACTTCTTCCTTTATAATTTAAATTTGAACCGCCCACCTTCATCTTTTTTTTCTTTTCATTTTTGTAGTTTTCGATATTTGATTTATAGGACAACATGATTAGATATGTTGTTTATAATTTGGTTCTTATATATTGAGTTAAACTCTATAATTTGTGATTTGTTCGACATTTTTAATATATAATATTTTATACTTCATATATAATATATTTAATATATTATATAATTGGGATATCGGTTATTTCATACATCAACAGAATGATGCGGTCCCGATCAGTACATAAACACGGATGTTGTGCTAAAACATACATCAACACAAAATATATTCAAATTTCATACATAAACAAAGATATTTAGGTTTTTTTATACATTGACCGTGTTTCCGTTAGTCAAATGGTAACGGATGCTGACTTGACTTTTTTATTTTATTTAATTAGTAAAAAAAAAATCACCAACACAAAATATATTCAAATTTCATACATAAACAAAGATATTTAGGTTTTTTTATACATTGACCGTGTTTCCGTTAGTCATATGGTAACGGATGCTGACTTGGCTTTTTTATTTTATTTAATTAGTAAAAAAAAAACAAAATCATATGCTGACTTGGCTTTTTTATTTTATTTAATTAGTAAAAAAAAAACAAAATCATATGTCGCTGGGAATAGTCGAACCCAACTTTGGACAAATTGGACAACATGGTAAACCGTTGTGCCAAACAAGCTCTTTGCTATTTTTTTATTGTCTCTTGTTTATATTCAATATGTTTTGTTGATATATTTCTAATTATCTAAAATTAGTTCAAAAAATATATAAATTCTAAGTAATTGTGTTTAATTACCTTAATTATTCTTATTGTGTTCTAAAAAAGTAAAAAATTAAAAATGAAAAATTTTAAAATCAAAAAGCGTTTTCGAAATGTAAAAAGAAATATGAAAAAAACATTTTTGAAACAATTGAAAAAAAAAATTAGAAAAATTATTAAAAAGAGTTTAAATTTGAAAAAATATAATTTGAAACTATTCAAAAATATTTTTAGTTTTAATATCGTTTTAGAATATAAATAATTATTTAAATAAATAATAAAAAAAATAAAAAATAATTTTTAAATAGTTTTGAGTTATTTGAGAGGGAGAAAGAAAAATGAAAATCATATAACTCAAAACTATTTAAAAACTATTTTTATTTTATTTTTATCTTTTATTTAAATAATTATTTATATTCTAGAACGATATTAAAACTAAAAATATTTTTGAATAGTTTCAAATTATATTTTTTCAAATTTAAACTTTTTTAATAATGTTTCAAAAATGTTTTTTTCATATTTCTTTTTACATTTCGAAAACCCTTTTTGATTTTAAAATTTTTAATTTTTAGTTTTTTACTTTTTTAGAACACAATAAGAATAATTAAGGTAATTAAACACAATTATTTAGAATTTATATATTTGTTGAACTAATTTTAGATAATTAGAAATATATCAACAAAACATATTGGATATAAATAAGACACAATAAAAAATACCAATAAGCTCGTTTGCCATAACAGTTTACCATATTGTTCAATTTGGTCCAAACCCGGGTTCGATGATACCCAGTGACATATAAATTTTAATACATTTATTAATTAACTAAAATAGAAAAGCCAAATCAGCATCCGTCAAAGCCACGTCAGCATCCATTACCATTTGACTAACGGAAACACGGTCAATGTATAAAAAAACCTAAATATCTTTGTTTATGTATGAAATTTGAATATATTTTGTGTTGATGTATGTTTTAGCACAACATCTGTATTTATGTACTGATCGGGACTGCATCATTCTGTTGATGTATGAATTAGCCGATATCCCATTATATAATTAGTTGTTAGTGAATGTCTAACTTTCTAACATTTGCTACAAAAAATAAGAATTTGAAATAGCAAAACTTAAACATTATCAAAACATGAAAATAACTAATTCTAAATTATATAGTTTGCAAATAGTTTATTTTTAAAATTATTATTTATACTCTAACATTGTATGAAGCAAATGCAAGTTTTAGACTTTAAAAGTAATAATTTTAAATTAATTGTTGAAGAATAAACATTTTTTTTCTGCACTGAAGAATAAACAGTTATAATTTCTTAAGAATGCCATTTTTTGGTTCCAAACTCAACTGGAAGTTCCTTTTGTTTGTGGACATTTCAACTGGCCTACGAATGTAAGGACTTGTCTTATTTCGTTTCTGTCTACGGGATATACAAGAGATGTTTAAGAAGCTCTCTTATGAAGGAGAAGAAACCATTCTATCTATTGAAAGAGGATACATAGAGCTTTGCATGAATAGTAAGTGGTTCAATGTGGTTCATTCCCTAAAGTCGATGGAAACATAATGATTCTAAGATCAATTAATCTGGTGAAATAGGTGGGAGAATGTCTCTTTAATATATAATAATATACCCAGTGTGACCTTTGCATGGGGTTTACATAAACAAAAGGCTATGTATCCAGGAACTTGTAGCAGATTGTATCTTACCATCCTTCAAACTTCAGTCTCCAAACTAACTCATTTCATTACATTGTCTCCCAAACAATCAAAGGCTTTTCGTCAGAAAAAAAAAATCTAAGGCTTTGAGTCTCTGACTATTAAACCCAAATAAAAGTATATTACCTTTTTAACTACAAGGTTTTGTAAGACACAATAGATTTTATCAAATTAAAATCCCAATTATAAACTCGATATTTGTTACTACATTCTGTACTTTAGTGCATAACCGTAGTCACAATATTATACCATCTTGGAATATCATGAAACTTCATTAACCTATGATCTAGCTTCAGATATGATTCACTCTCTACAATACTACAGTAAACTATACCCAAGCGTATCTTATGTCCATCAGGGGCGGAGGCAATGAACGACTAGTGGGATCAGCTGATCTTACTATTTTTAAAAATACTGTTATTTTTGTTTAAAAACAATTTTATTGACACCATAAAAAATAAAACTTGACCCCACCAAAAATGATATCACTTTAATAATTACAGAGAATTAAAAATGAAAGATAAAATTTAATTATATAAATAATATGAATATTATTTTTTATTTTTAAAAAATTATATTTATTAATTTATGTATACATGAAACAATTTCTCTTAATTTTTACCTAAAATTCAATAAACACATTTTTAATCTTCAATTTTAGTTACGTATTTGTATTAAACCATTATTATATTAGGCCCAACTAATTAATTTTAGAAAAAATTATACTAAATGAGTGAATTTGAAAAAAGATAGATGATTTTGGTACTTCTTTTTGGATGTATGCAAGACTGTGAGAACTTTCATGCTTAACAAATATTTTTTGGATAAAATTCAGGTTAATTTTTATTTTATTGTTATACTCTTTTTTTTCTTATACTATTTTACTAAACCAAAATGATTACGATTCATTAATTCAATTCAATAAAAAAATTAGCGTTAATCTATATTCATGATCTGAATACCTTTAACAAGTAATTCTATATTTAGAAGTAGACCAGTTTTTAAAATTTATCAGAAAACTAATGGATCGGTTTTTTTGAAATCTGAAAAGTAAAATCTATCAACAAATGATAGTTTCTCAGACATAAATGAAGATCATCAAAATAGTATTACAAAATTGCATATGTGATCAGTTTCTAAATAATTGTCTTAATTTTTTTATAGGAAAAATATTTCAAAATGTAGTAAATGAAAATATGATAAATAAGTTTCAAACTATAAGTGATTGTAGAGTATGTTTATAGTTTTTGAGGGATGATAAATTATGTTTTGATCGTAGAATATATGTATTGTTTTTTTATGGTTTATAAATTATGTTTTTGAAAAACAAATTGTGACCCTAGTACAAAAAGTTTATGGCTCCGCCGTTGATGTCCATATCTTCCAGATTATGTAGCAGCTCAACCAAATTTTTCTTTTCAGACTGAAACAACAAACAAACAATTCAGTATTTTAAACTGAAACCGACACAAAAGAATCAATATGGATTCAAGAGAGAGAATTAAAAAAAAAAGATTAGGATCTTCAAGTTTCTCTTTGATTTCAAAATACTCTTCTGCTCATCATCAAATAAACCAGCAAACAGATGG